ATGTACCGCAAATAGGAGATCGAGAGCAACTTAGAGTCCGCAGCATATTTTCGGCATGTGTTCATCTGATTACAGCTGGCGGAGGCAGCGCGTGTTGGCCGGGCCATGAGGAAAATAAAAGCGCGGGAAGTTTGAAAAGGAATGGGGGGAATCGATATTTGATTGGAACTTTTGGCCTAGAAGCAAGTCTAATATAGCTTAGATATTGGGGCCCAATTTTATTATGGGAATTCTTTATACTTGCTGTAATTTTATTTTCTTTTTCGTCCAACACAAACAATAAAAACGTGTAGACTAAAACGTACTTTTGACTAATAAAAACATGTATTATTGAAAACAATACCAAGACTCAAATACCTCAGTCATTCCATCCTGTGAAAACCTCGCTCGGAGACATAGTTTTGGACGATCGATGTTTGCGGTGCAGTTGTTGAGAATGAATATAGATATGTTATTCGAATGTGATTAGGCAAGGAAGTTATGAAAATACGCAGGATGGTGAGATGTTATCTCTAGTCTCCATAAACAGGATTTTATCTCCCTAGCTTTGGCTTATTCTAAATGGAGATTGTGGTGCTAATTTTTTGATTTTTGTTGTTACCTTGTGACTTATGTGTAATTGCCTCTGTAAAAATTTCAAGACAAGAAGCCCAGAGTGGTTTGGGGATTTTGAGATATCATGGTTAAAAGAGTTCAATAATGTTCAATCAGGGCAACTTTCCCTGTCGGGATTTGATTTGCAGTTAGAAAGGCGGGGTACTTGTACTAATGGTTGGACTCTTCTATACGATGCGACAGTCCGCGAGTCAAAATTGGTTTGAGTGGTTGATTTCATGATAAAGACGGCGTATGTCAAACAACCTTCGTTATTTGCGTCGAGGGCTCATTTTCTCCTTTATTAACGGAAGCACTGGAGCTCCTTCACGGTCTTTGTTTTGCACTGGGCTCAGACTTAAAGGTGCAAACGGTGCTGACAGACTGCATGGAAGTTGTAGGCAGCATTACGAATTCGGAGGATTTTGACCCTCTCTCTTTGAGGTGTTTATGGATATTAGGATCTTTTAACGACTTTAGACTACAGCTCGTGTTGCTATGTCTCATGAAAGAACAACGTATAATATAGCTAATTGGGTGATTGCTTCACATTTTTCTTATTATTGGAAGGACACCCTTTCAATTTTGTTTTCCTCTATCTTTAATTAGTTTGTAGGCAGTTTTTTATCAAGAAAAAACAAACAACTCCAATACAATGTTTTAGAGATGTATATGAATGGTCCAAACTTTAAACGAAATCTGAAATAAATAAAGAACCAAAATAGGAAATGCTGAAATGATCAAATGANCTGGATTTTCTTCATAGACGGGTACATTGCACACCGGACACGAGTTCTTATTACGCAGCGACCCAACTATGCAGTGGGAATGAAACGTGTGGCTGCACACTATGTCGATAATTGGGCCCCGAGTGTTGGGGCCCGCCAGCATATCGGGCAGCTCCTCATCAAGCCCAAGCTCAACTCGACATCCTCCAATCTGAACCTCACCATATCTTCACAGACGAAATACGCCAGCGTACAGGGAATGCCCCTCCCATCAAAGGAAATCTCCCTGACAACTTGATCGATGTCGAAAAATAGCACAGGCAGCAGATTCTCAGTCGTAATCGCTCGATCCACGGCGGCGTCCAATTCCTCGCCGTCTTGCTGCACCGTGCAGACGTCGATCGTCACGGTCACGGGGACGACACGTGGATCCCTGTCCGCCGTCGATGACATCGTGGATCGGCACAAATCTGACGCCTCGCGGATCAATTCCTGGATCTGGGCCTCCGGCATCCAGTACTCCCTCAGCCGGAGCTTCGAGCAAAAGAGAACTGGAGCTCGTTCTCGCCGTCAAAGGGGACGTCGACGAAAGTCTCCGAGCACAGGGTGGTCTCGCCGCCGCCGGCGTCTTTTGGTTTGAGGATGAAATTGGTCCGAAACTGGAAGTCGAACAGGCAGCGAGCCCGGCACTGCATACGCCGGTACAAGTCCATATTCCTGCCGTCGTCGATCTGGATCTGGTGGCGGTAATCGTACCCCGGCCGCCGTCGTCTATCCACGGGATTCAGATCCATGACTCTCTTTAGGTCATTAGTTATTTTGGTTGAACGAGGACTTTGTCTTTGCATATGAAAAAATTCAATCCATACTCAGTTTATACTAAAAAAACTCCGACTCAACATATCTAATTCCACTATTTTTAATATTATTAATATAACTAAATAATATCAATTAATTATTTTTACTCATTATATTAACTTTAATTTACTATTCATTAATTCATATAATTTTAACTATTCGTCACTTCATACATCTCTATCCTAATTTTACATCAAATCAATTTTAGTTATTTTATTTTAAATATTATTTTATTATAAAATCAAAATCTTATTAATAACTAATCATACCAATTTTATCATAATTAACTTTGGTTACAAAAAAAACTCATTTGGAATAGATATATTTGTATACAAACATGCCTTGTTTACAAATATACTATTTTTTATTTTGTTTTTAACTAGAGTTATTTTGAAAAAGTTGGTATAGTTAGTGAGATTTTAAGTTTCTATTAAATTATTATTTGAAATAAAATGATTGAAATTGACTTGATATAAAAGTAGGAGATAGATGATTAAAATGGATAGATATTTAAAATTATGTGAGTGTATGAATAGTGAATTAAAGTCAATGTGATTTGAAAAGGATTATTGATATCATTTAATTATATTGACAATATTGAGAATAATAAAGTTAAGTTAAAAGTTTAGTTGAGATCGATTTTTTTTTTTTTTT